CTTATTTTTATTTACATTTTTAAATATTTGCGGGCTTTGATTCAAATTAATATTGTCAGTGTTGCCTAACATCAACTGCCACATCTGGCAACTCTGACAGCAAACGAACACAAGCTGCCTGATACATAACACAATTGCATATTCACCTTGGCCTTTGCTTTGTTTACGCAGACGATTTTGTGAAACTTGTAATAAATTGATAAAAATAAGAATATAAAATGGCATCAGCATCTAGTTCAAGCGCTCGTCATTTGTTTGATGATTCCAAGAAACGCCTGTGCGCTCGAGTTGGTGTAAATGTGAACAATTTGGGCTCTGTAGCCAGGCAAGTGGTGCGAGGCTCCAAGACCAATGAGGTAGGAAAAATAATAATAATGTATAAACTATAAATTAAACTAAATGGTGTTGCACAGATTATGCATCAGACGCTAAAGAACTTTACGCAAGTGGACGTGGTATCCGATTACAGCAACCAAAACCTGCAAAAGATGACGCTCATCCTACAGCACGTCGGYTATCAGTAYGACGTGATGCARGAYAGTGTCAATCATTTGGATTACCTCAAGGAGCAGGTGACGGCCATGGAAAGATGATTGGAAGAGCAAAGGCCTAGACATTAGTTGAACTGCACACCTTATGCCCACTATGATTTCGACAGTAATTCCGCTCATATATTTTCATAAATACCAAAGCTCCATAACCTCGTCTCAGGTTAATCGCAGCGAGCAGCCCTTGAATATGTCTCTGAGAGGTGGTGTCGCGGGCAAACACACAAAATGCGATAAGGGCCAAGATATCTATGGCTGCCTTGCCTATAAAAGTAGCCAGCAATGAGATACGCACGATTATCTATCTATAAGTCACCTWTCGCATCACATTATGCAGCGCACGCAACTGCTATTCTTCGCTTGGCTGGCATTTGCCGCTGCCCAGGACATCGCCACACAGGAGCAGAGGCTATTGGCGGACAGAGATACTCTCGATCCACAGGATGGTCGCATTGTCGGTGGTTGGGCAACAAAGATCGCGCATTTCCCACACCAGGTCTCACTCCAGAAGGGCACACGTCATATCTGCGGTGCCACTATATTGGCACCCACTCTGGTACTAACTGCCGCTCATTGTGTGCTGAATGCCAATGAGCCGCAGGACTATTTCATACGCGCTGGCTCCACCAAGTGGTCAAGTGGCGGCAGCCATCATCGTATTCGTCGTATCATTCCTCACGAGCATTTCAATCTGCCTACACATATGAACAACGACATCGCTCTGTTACAGCTCCAAGATCCGCTTATCTTTAGTGACAACATAAAACCCATTCCGATCGTAACACCGATGGATGATGTGCCCACACTAGCTCAGCTCTTCGTCAGCGGCTGGGGATCCACAAAAGTGGAGCAAATGGCCACATCACCGCTCTTGCATTACACAGTCATCGTTCAAATGAATCGCGATTCGTGTGCACGTAACTACTTTGGCGCCGCCACCATAACATCCACCATGTTCTGTGCAGGCAGCAAGTCTGGCAAAGGTGATCGGGACAGCTGCGTGGGCGATTCGGGTGGTCCGTTAATCACACACGTTGACGGTCGCTTCAAACTGCTTGGCATTGTATCTTGGGGCTTAGGCTGCGCCAACGCTCAATATCCGGGCGTTTATACCTATGTGCCTGCTTATATGAACTGGATATACCAGACAGTGCAGACACTGACCTAGGCTTATAGTATTTGTATTTTAAAGGTTTTATTGTTATGCGCATCTAACCTAACTAAAAATAGATTTAATAAGTTTCTTAAAAATCACACAGCCCAGCTCTTAAATTGTATGACTATTATAAAACAGTTTCCACTTGATGTAAATATTTTAAGCACATATTTTTGACCTAATATTGATAATGTATATATAAGTTTTATTATTGTGAATACTTATAAACTATAAACAATTCCACGCATATTTTTTGTTGAACAATAATGATTGTCAACACTCAACTTGTTTAATATGCAGTTGATTAAGTATATAAATTCATTTGAAAAAATTAAATGAAACCTGTATTGAACCTGTTTAACCGTTTGGGTTTCAGTCAACTCTTCTCTTTAGGATTAGTCATAGAAATGTCCGAGAACAAATTGTATATTTAATTTTAAAGTTTAACTATTAATTTCTCTTATTATTCATTATTGCTCTAAAGCCTTGATCTTTGATTTAAAAAATAAGAATAAAAAGAGTTATTTTTGGCTCAGGTTCAAGGCGAGTATGGAAGTTTGTTGTTGATAACTGGAAAGTTATTGAAAGAGCTACAAATTTTGCTAGCTAAATCTAGCTAAGAATCAATAGTATATGAACACACGATCTAAGCCTAATGCTTTAATTATTGCTATTTATACAAAATTTAATTTCCTATAATCACTGGTTTAGCTTTTTGTAAAAGTTAATGCTTTGGCATTTAACAATATTCATATTTTTCACTATCAACAAAGAGAGATTTTTCTCAATTTTTGCAAGTCTAAAGATCGTGCGGCATTGAGAGATTATTAGAGGAACTGATTGTTGTAGAACAGCAGCGTTAGCTTATCTGGCTTATTACAAAATAAATTTAACATTAATGTCGAATTGTCTTGTTTATGAATGCAAAATTATAAAAATGAAAACAAGTTTTGTCTTCAAAGCTCCGAACGGTGTTTTGTATATAAAAAGCGAATCTGAGAGGCTAAAGCACGGCGGCAGACCAGTTTTTTCGGTTTCAGTTTCGATTGCGACTGACAAAAAATTCGCTACAAGTTTTTAGTTTCCCATCGCAGCTCAACAAAGAGACACACGTAAAAGGAAAAAGAAAAGAAGAAAAATCATGAAGCACTTTTTCATATTGGTAAGCGATAGTCAATGGCAGCTACGCAATGCAACTACATTTCCGGTTTACTGTGTCAAGGTCGTTTGTGCATTGGGCGCCAGTCGCGCGGATGTGTCGCATCTTCATTTGGCCACCACTCCAGAGCCGCATGCGCCCGCCAGCCCGTATGTGTTTAGCTACCAGGCGGGGCGTGCACCAGGTCATGTGGATAGACAGCACACAGAGGTATCCGATGGCTCGGGCGTTNAATCGCGATTCGTGTGCACGTAACTACTTTGGCGCCGCCACCATAACATCCACCATGTTCTGTGCAGGCAGCAAGTCTGGCAAAGGTGATCGGGACAGCTGCGTGGGCGATTCGGGTGGTCCGTTAATCACACACGTTGACGGTCGCTTCAAACTGCTTGGCATTGTATCTTGGGGCTTAGGCTGCGCCAACGCTCAATATCCGGGCGTTTATACCTATGTGCCTGCTTATATGAACTGGATATACCAGACAGTGCAGACACTGACCTAGGCTTATAGTATTTGTATTTTAAAGGTTTTATTGTTATGCGCATCTAACCTAACTAAAAATAGATTTAATAAGTTTCTTAAAAATCACACAGCCCAGCTCTTAAATTGTATGACTATTATAAAACAGTTTCCACTTGATGTAAATATTTTAAGCACATATTTTTGACCTAATATTGATAATGTATATATAAGTTTTATTATTGTGAATACTTATAAACTATAAACAATTCCACGCATATTTTTTGTTGAACAATAATGATTGTCAACACTCAACTTGTTTAATATGCAGTTGATTAAGTATATAAATTCATTTGAAAAAATTAAATGAAACCTGTATTGAACCTGTTTAACCGTTTGGGTTTCAGTCAACTCTTCTCTTTAGGATTAGTCATAGAAATGTCCGAGAACAAATTGTATATTTAATTTTAAAGTTTAACTATTAATTTCTCTTATTATTCATTATTGCTCTAAAGCCTTGATCTTTGATTTAAAAAATAAGAATAAAAAGAGTTATTTTTGGCTCAGGTTCAAGGCGAGTATGGAAGTTTGTTGTTGATAACTGGAAAGTTATTGAAAGAGCTACAAATTTTGCTAGCTAAATCTAGCTAAGAATCAATAGTATATGAACACACGATCTAAGCCTAATGCTTTAATTATTGCTATTTATACAAAATTTAATTTCCTATAATCACTGGTTTAGCTTTTTGTAAAAGTTAATGCTTTGGCATTTAACAATATTCATATTTTTCACTATCAACAAAGAGAGATTTTTCTCAATTTTTGCAAGTCTAAAGATCGTGCGGCATTGAGAGATTATTAGAGGAACTGATTGTTGTAGAACAGCAGCGTTAGCTTATCTGGCTTATTACAAAATAAATTTAACATTAATGTCGAATTGTCTTGTTTATGAATGCAAAATTATAAAAATGAAAACAAGTTTTGTCTTCAAAGCTCCGAACGGTGTTTTGTATATAAAAAGCGAATCTGAGAGGCTAAAGCACGGCGGCAGACCAGTTTTTTCGGTTTCAGTTTCGATTGCGACTGACAAAAAATTCGCTACAAGTTTTTAGTTTCCCATCGCAGCTCAACAAAGAGACACACGTAAAAGGAAAAAGAAAAGAAGAAAAATCATGAAGCACTTTTTCATATTGGTAAGCGATAGTCAATGGCAGCTACGCAATGCAACTACATTTCCGGTTTACTGTGTCAAGGTCGTTTGTGCATTGGGCGCCAGTCGCGCGGATGTGTCGCATCTTCATTTGGCCACCACTCCAGAGCCGCATGCGCCCGCCAGCCCGTATGTGTTTAGCTACCAGGCGGGGCGTGCACCAGGTCATGTGGATAGACAGCACACAGAGGTATCCGATGGCTCGGGCGTTATACGCGGCGCCTTCTCCTACGTGGATCCCAAGAATCAAGTGCGCACCGTTCAATAYGTCGCCGATGAGAATGGCTTCCATCCGCAGCTGAGTCACCAGCTGGAAGACAGTGCAGCCGTCAAGGCGGCCAAGGAGAAGCACTTCGCTACCTATAATCGCATTGCGCAAGAGCATGCCAGCCACATACCAGGCCAAGCGGTGAGTACGGCCCAGAGATGGCCCAGAGCGTGTTGTGTTGTGTTGTGTTGTGTTGTCTTACATGCATGAATTACAAATGCTTTTCACGAGCTGCGCAAAGCTTGCTGCCAGTCATTGCTGTTGCTTGACGTCGGACGCTGGCAAATAAATTATTTCAATTATTCAGCATGCGCCAATCCCTAGCAATTGTATAAATGTTACAAACTCTTATTTTTATTTCCATTCGCTTGCAGTCTGTGGCAGCTGCTCCCCGCGGCAGTGCCGCCGTCATTCATGCCACCCAAAAGCATTTGAGCGCATTTGAGCGTATCGCAGCGGAGCACGCAGCCATCGGGGCCCAGCAGGAGGCGCAACGCTTAGCATTGGCAGCCCAGTCGCAGTACAGTGAAATTGACAATGGACAATACCATCCATAAGCTGTGTATACTTGCACAACAAATATTTGTATTTAATAAATATTGTCATTTGAAAAAACATTCGTTAGTATTTTCTTTAATATTTTATTTAATTATCACAGCAAAGCAGCCGAACAAAGTAGAAAATAGGCTAGTATTTCCTTTAAATATGTCCTCTAATTATTTCCCCTAAATATATTCTCTAATTATTTCCATCAAAGTATTTCCTCCAAGAATTTCCTCCAAGAATATTTCCTCTAAGAATATTTTATAATTATTTCGTGTAAGTATTAAACTTAGAAAAAGTGTTTCCTCTCAGAATTTATTCTTAGTATTTCCACTAAGCATTTCCGCCAAGTCTGCGCTCTGTCCTTAATGCCTAGCAGAACGATCACACACTTTACTTCACTGCACGACTGACCCCCACTAGGCCTAGGTGACTGAAGAAATGCTGTAGCTGCTGCCCTTTATATAGGGCAACTTTCACTCATAGCCGAAGTCTCTCTCAAATGTTGAGCCCGACGCCAGGTAGAGCTCGTTGCAATCGAGTTTAAACGACCAATGGGAACAC